ATCCAAGGTTGTCTTGGTGGATCAGCATTTAACTGAAAGTTGCATCATAAAAACCTATGACAGCATGGCTGATGGTCCTTCAAGCTGCATCCTAGGAATTTCTCGCATACCTTACAGGCAACGATGTCATCAGGATCTTCTCCAACCAGTAATTATTTACTGCCCGTGTAATATCCTAGATGGGCTTTGTGAGTCTCTTGAGTTTGCAGAGCTAAAAGGATCTTTTCAAATTACTTGTGAGTTTCATGAACCTCTGAGTCCCCTCCTTCCTGCAAGGGATAGTGTTTCTATAACGGTAACAGATACACAATAATTTTCCATGGATTAATCCTTAATTTTTCTTGAATTTACTTCTAATTTTATACTGTAATTTCTGCCTCACTTTCTCTCATTGTTTATTGTCCATTGTTAGCAAAGTTGCTTGTAGATTCATATTTTTTTTTTTTTGCTGGAATTTGCTGAAGTTACATCTCACTAAGTTTTTACTTTTTATGACCAACTTAGTCTCATTCATATTCTGATATCATATAAAATTAACTGTGGCATTTTAAATGTTCTCTCTCTAGACTCAAATGGGTGAGTAATAGACTGATTTCCTTTTTGTTTTAGTAGCTCTCTCACTGACCATTGGTTCCTGCAAAGTTCTTGAAGTTCTTTCTCAAAGTTTCCCTCTTGACTATTTGTTCAAGTAGATTTAGCACTTTTTATAAGGTGACCACACTTAAGGTTTTGTTCTAATCTCTGAAGTCACAAAGCTTAATTTTTGTATTGTCTACCACTGTGATTGATTAGTTGAATGACTGATTGATAGAAACAGGGTCTCTTATAGAACAGCTTTACCTTGAGTTTGATACATGTATGAAGCTGTCCTTGAACCCAGGTCTCCTGCATCTACTTTTTGAGTTCAAGGACTATAGGCTTGTGCCACCATTGAGTCCACCAGCTTTGAGTCCTATCCCACCATTGAAACAATTGTTTCCTATATTCTCATCCCAACTAAAGAGAAATTTTAGTACACTATTAAGGCAAAATTGAAAACTACCATCTCTGTGTCCTCTTTGTTTTCAACTTCATTTGCTTTGAGTAATTCAGTTGTGCTGGGATTATTTATTTATTTCCATTTTCAATTGAGAATGGTTCTCAATCAGTCATTCAACTAATCAATATTTACACTTCAGTTTTTTGAGTGCTGGGGATACATATGTCAGCATATTTGGCCTCTGGCATGATCTTTAATCCTGAGGAAAATCTTGTATTATATCATTTGATAAATTTGTATTTCCATTCATATTAGTTCTTTCATAGTAAAACAGTTGTCTTTTTATTATTTCTTGTATATTCAGTAGTGCTAAGGTCATATAATTGGCATACAAAATATTTATTTTGATGGATTCCTTAAGTGTTTTAAAATTGGATATGTGTGATATAACATATTAATTGGTTTAATTTAGCCATGCCATCGTGAACATACTGTATTCTGTATCATAATTGTGAATGACTTTATTTATGAGCTAAATAAATGAATGAAAAATAATAAAAAAGAAAGAAATTAAAGAAGATACCAGAAAATGGAAAGATCTCCCATGCTCTTGGATAGGTAGAATTAACATAGTAAAAATGGCAATCCTGCCAAAAGCAATCTACAGATTCAACACAATCCCCATCAAAATCCCAACCCGGTTTTTCACAGACATATAACAATACTAAACTTTATATGGAAAAAATAAAAAACCCAGGATAGCCAAAACAACTCTTTACAATAAAGAATCTTCTGGAGGCATCACTATCCCTGACTTCAAGGTCTACTATAGAGCCATAGTTCTGAAAACAGCTTGGTATTGGCACAAGAATAGACAGATAAACCAATGGAATCAATTGAAGACCCAGATATGAACCCACACACCTACGAACACCTTATTTTTGACAAAGGTGCTAAATCTATACAATGGAAAAAAGATAGCATCTTCAACAAGTGGTGCTGGCACTATTGGATTCAGACATGCAGAAGACTGCAGATAGATCCATACCTGTCACCATGCATGAAACTTAAGTGCAAATGGATCAAAGATCTCTCCA